CATCTGCAACTGCTGCTGCTCTGCACACAGCAGCAGCGACAGCAGCAGCCACAGCAGCATGTGGCTGAAGCCACCCTCCCACCCACTACATTACCTTGGGGCAGGTGGGATGGGAGCTCATTCCTTCCATTACGGATAAGTAAGATAAAAAGGGAAATAACCTTGTAAAAAATCCCATAGCAGCATGGAGGAGTTAAATGTTATTTTCCAAACAAAACATTCAGTTAAAGTGGGAGCAGGGAATTTGTAGACATTTGTGGTTTTTCCTCAGAAGAACTGAAAAACATTTTGTTGTGGATGAGGCATAAATGTTGTGTGGGCTGGAACTGTACAACTGATTCACTTTGAATTTTGTAGCAGTGCAGTGCTGCTTTTGATGAAGTTATAACAGTTCAGCCTTGAAATTAAGGTAGTTCTTGTACTGCCGTACAACTATTAAATGTGGGTGTAATTTATTGTATCAAAATATTGAAAAGTATTTGACCTGTCGTGTGGTATGCCAACAGTTGTGTTGGCACAGAGTTACATTGTGTTGGAAGATACTTTTTCCATGTAAGAGTAGTCACATTTATATAAAGCCAATATAATCACGCTCATGCTAGTGGAAGAACAGTCATGGTACTTCTCTAGTTCTGGTTTAAGCAAAACTGTACAACTTGTGTAGGGGCACCCATATCTATAAATAGAAATGAGCGTGCTTTTACTGTGACTGATCTCATCAGTGACTGAGGGATTTAATGCTTGTTTCTCGCTTCCTGTTGTTGAAGATGTCGAAGAACCCAATACGCAGAGGCTTCTTTCTCAACCAGTTATTGTGTCTTCCAAGTTGCAAATCCCTGGCCTACCCTTGCGCTGGGAACAGCAGAGCAAGCTCCTTCCAAGTGTAGCTGGGATCCCAGCCAGTAAAGTTTCTAAGTGGAGTACAGATGAGGTAGGTTTCCCCTGTATCTTCTGTCTCACTGCCTCTATTCTTGAAGTCTTGGTAGATTCAGAGCTTTAAATTAACCCCATAAATTAACAATAATGCATTAGTACTCAGAGGATTAGAGTCAGCCAGACCTAATGTTACAGATCCACAAAACACTTGTTCAGCTGCCATCCAGCTCTAGAAGCAGTAAGTATTAATTCATATCTGTATAGTTAGGTATACATATAGGTATGTATACATATATATTCACTGGGGTTATAAAGGGAAAGAAAAGTGCTAAATGTATGACCCAGCAGATCAGGTCAAGGTCTACACAGATAACACCTAGCACCCACACACACATTTTGCAGGAATGGTTTAGGGGTCAGCATGGACCAAGGAGCTATTTCTGTTGCATTGTTTGGATGTGGCACGGTGTTGTGGAGAGTGAGAATATAGTGCAGAGAGGAACGGTGTGGATATGGTCAGGCCATGACACCTGATTTCAACATTAGAGCCCTGTCACCCTTAAAGTATGTAATAATGCTTGGACAGACAGGGTCTAGTGCCTGCTTTACTTTCAGAAGTACCTGTGACTAAGGCAGTTTTCTGCAGCTGGGACAGTTGGATCTCCTCTAATCAGAGAAAAACGAAGCATGAACTTTGTAAAAGGATTTGCTAACCTCTGTGCTGTAAAGAATAATGAAGAGGAAGACAGCAACCATTTCTGTTTGTGAGAAGTTATTCACCAAGAGATTCAGCATTCTGGAACTGCATGGATAGAATAACCTGAGTTTTGAGGGAGTAGCATATCCCACTCTTAGATGTCCTGTGGACAGGAGTGGCAGGTGCTCTTTTAGTTTGCAGATTTTGTGAATCCTGTCCTTAAACACCCAGCTGCATGACTCCATGCACTTATAGAGGTGGAACACCTAATATAAGGCTGTAAAAACAATAGCTAAAAAATTTTAATGATTGTCAACCTTTAAGACTACTGCAAGAAGATATCGGTCTTACTAAATCTTTTGTTGTATACTTTGGTGACAGGTCTCTGAATTTATACGGAGTTTACCAGGATGTGAAGAACATGGCAAGGTGTTTAAAGATGAGGTGGGTGAATTTTATTTCCAAAAGACAAAGAGTACAAAGCTTGGTGGAAAGATTAATTTTACGTCATCACTAAAAATATATGTGAAGTAGTAGGATGAAGTGTATTTTTAAAGTCGGACACAAATGTATGGAAGATTAGGTTGGTTTGCAGGTCATGGAATGGGAAGGAAGTAAAGAAGATAAAACTAGCAAAGTGTCAGCCAGGTCTCTCGTGCTTCTCTACCTTTGTTATTGCAACTGAAATTCCTTAGAACTAATGGTAGAAGAGGAGGAAATGGGTGATTTGCTACTGCTGTCTCTGAATCTGCTTTGAGGAAATTTTTAAGTATGTTATTTTAGCTCTGCAGGATGTTAGCAAATAAGATAAAGCAGAGCAGTGGTTCAAGATAACCACCTCTTAAAACTCTTTGTATCTTGTCTGATCACACTTAGTTCTTGATGCTCTTCCTTCTGATATAGCTAGTTCACGAACGTGATTTGAGTGAGTGGGAAGTGAGAAGATCTGAAGGCTCAAAGGAGTGTGTACTCACTTTGTGAGCATGCCAGGCGTGCATTTCTGGTATCTGAGAAGATTGTTGTGCCAAAGTTGTCATTAGGAAGTGATGGGGCTTTTAGGTACGATAAACCTTTATAAGCTAGGTTGGCTTTTTCTTTTCCGCTCAGAGGTTTGTTACTCCTGGTAATGCTTAGTTTCCGGAAGGCTGTTTGATCACAAATTGCTAGAGTGAATAGTTCAGGTGCTTATCCCAGCCAGACCACCTGAATGGGCAGTCTGATACTGCAATATCCCAAGTCAGCCAGCCTCTCAAGTGAAGAATAATTGTGGTACTTAAACTTGAGAAGGGCACCTCCTGAGGAAAATGCATACAGATAGCCCTGCTAATCTCTTGCAACAAGAGTTTTCAGGCTATTCTGTAGATTGTAGAGACTCGGTATTGTTGCATATCAAAGGACTGACAGGCAGCACCTTTGGACATTTTGCACTTGCATAGATGTTAGGCATTTTACAGTTGCAGCAGGTATGCAGGCGTAGATCATCCCTTGTGTCACTTAGAGTGTCTCACCAGTGAATTTAAGATCAATAAAAGCTGGTGCATTACTAATCAAGTCAGCAGGTGGGAAGTGAGAGAGATGGATGAATCCTAAACACTTTCATTCTCAGAGGTGTAAGAAAATACTTCCCCTATTTAGGATTCAGCCTCTCTGGGCTTTCTCTGAGAGAAGGAGGTAAAACCTCTCCCAGTCAGGCCAACTGGCGTGGACTGGCTGGCATAAGTAGGTCTTTCAGTAGGTAGAACACGTGCTAGTTCAAACTTCTGCTGTGGAAATGACCTCTCATCCTGCTTATATTAAGATGCAGCAAAAAGCTGGGCACCCCATGTTTGCACATTCCTGATTCTGAGCCCACCCAGTCTGGCTTTGTGCATGAAACGTGTAGAAGGTAATTGTGGTAACTGCATTATGATGTTCTCACCACAGTGTTCCTGGACTTACAGTGCTGCGGTGTACCCTGCAGGCTTCCTTTGCAGCCTGTCTGATTCAGAAAGCTTGTCTTCTAGTCCTACAGAAACTTAATTACACTGTTTTTATCTCAAATTACTATCTTTAAGCCTAAGCAGCACTCCTGAATGAACCACAGTTGGCCTTTAGGCCTAGCTATCCTGCTTACGTTACACTGAAAACTTACTGTAGATAACTAAGTGACCTGAAGTTCACGCAAGCAGTGTTGGCCCCATTGAAGCCCTTGGAAGTGAGGGCCTTGTGGCTCTTCACGTTTGGATTTAGCACTCCTGTTGACAGAGCAATTTGCTTACAGGAGAATATTCACTTGTAAGGTTTATTAAAATAGCAACACGACAAAGCTGGCAGAAAAAAATATTCAGTGCTTTGAAAAGTTGTGTTTGTGTCAAAGAGGCAGTTTTATGTAGCCTGGCCCCTGTTTACATCTGGGACCAAATTCATTTTAATTTGCTATTTAATGAACAGAAAGGGGTGGCCTGAAGGGGGCTGCAGTTCTGTAGTTGGGACTTAAATCCAGAAGCTTTCTTATGGAGGCTTGTATAAAAGGAGCAGCTAAGATGTTAAAAGGCGTTCCTGTGCCACAGTACAGTTGAATTCTACTTCATTTACCCATTTTACTTTTCAGTAGCTTTTACTTTATACTGTCAGTATGAAAATAAGAACTCCTTAGCTAAAAATTAGCCAGACAGTTGTTTGCAAGCAGAAAGATCATCATCCTGTTCTTTTGGAGTAGCTGATCTGTCTAAAAGGTTGAAATCAAAGCTATCCTGGGAGCTTATGGAAGTGTTTGTTTTTAGCCATTCCTTTACACTGTCTGAAATCGCTGGGAATTTTCTTTTCATGTTTTCAGAAACACCTATACTGCTGCACTGTCAGACCTATTAATAGCTTTGTGTTTTTTTTCTTTTCAAGCAAATTGATGGAGAAGCATTTCTACTAATGACCCAATCAGACATAGTCAAAATAATGAGCATTAAACTGGGACCAGCCCTAAAAATCTTCAATTCCATTCTGATGTTCAAAGCTGCAGAGAAGAACTCACACAATGAACTTTGAAGATAATGGAAAATGTGTACGAGCCAGCTTTCTCCACTGGAGCTCATGTTTTATTCAAAGCACAAAGACTTGCTAGAACTGTTGAGTAAGGACTCTCAGAAAGGAAGAAACGTATGTTCAGCACTGGTGGACTATTTATATTCTCCTAGAGCCAGTACACATCTGAATCCTTCTGGGAAGTGTTCAAGCTTTTGAGAAGGTACTGTGTAACAACCGAGTCAGCTAGTCTTACTTACCAAACTAATGGCGCTAATTCTCCATGGATGGTTAGGATCCCTAACTTTCTCTGGACATCAAGAAAACCTTCATTAATTATTTATGCTGTATTATATAAGGGAATGTTAATATTTTCTAAGAATTCTTGAACTCTACTTCATGTACCCATTTTACTTTTCAGAAGCTTTTACTTGATACTATCAAAATAAAAACTGATTAGCCGAAAATTAGGCTACAGGTAGCCAGATGAGACTGTTACGGCTAATAGGTATTTGTGCCATAGTTTAAAAATGAAACACTTAATGTTACATACGTGACACTTTATGCTATAGCATATAACTTTACAGATTATAAAACTGTCTGTTTGCTTGTAACAAAACAAACCTTGTCGGGGTTGAAATTATAATGCTTTTTTGATAACTGAATGTTTTTACTTTTGCACGATTACGAAAATGTTATGTGAGTTTTTCCACCAGCATCTTTAATGTATTTTACCAAAAGATCAGTATAGAGAAGGCTGCAACTGAAAAATAAAGATTGACTTCATAGACGACTTTTCGTTTATGCTGCACAATAGAGTCCCAGCCTTTCACGTGGGAGCCTGCTACATTCCTTCAGCACATGCAGGAAAACACACGTATTTTGAGGTAACGATATTAGCAAAAAAGAAAGTATATTCATTCATGTCTGCACATGCCAGTCTCCAGTATAGGTACCACAACAGTGGCGAAAGACAGTGTGCTAAAGCTAGGACTGCTACTCTGGCTTCACATTCAACGTAGGTTTGGTTTTGCAGTGGTGGGAGCGTTACTTCACCTGCCATGTCCTAGTTGAAAAGTCTGATTTATAAATGACTAAGGCATAGGGGGGGAAGAAAAAAGCTCAGAGGAAAAGGATACTTAGACGCATCTGGTGCATCGGCACATCCTAGGTGTAAAATGTGTGCGTTTCACTGGGTCATTAGCAGGCTGCAGATGCCACCAGCAGTTACTTAGGTGAGGCAACCGTCTTTCTTGGAGGATTATTACAGCGATTTGTTAGGGCAAGTCGTTGCGCTTGGTATATATATGTAAGATATAAACCAGATGCACTTTAAATGAGAGAAAGCCTAGCTACCTGTATACTGAGGGCTGTTCCAGAATGTTACTTTTGCAAGAAGAGAGAGAAGAGTTGGATCAAGATTTTTGGCAGCCCTCTTCTTAGCGCTGCGGTGGGCAGTTGCTCAGCCTTTAGAGCTGAGAACAAACAGAGCATTTCCGTTGCACAGAGCTGGGAGAATTTCGCATCTTCCCACAGATTTTGCTAGGCTGTTCTTTGGCTGGAGTTCTTAAGGTTTCAAGTACTCTCTGTGCCCAGTCATGTAGGTGACCGGTACCTGCCATAATATGAGGTGAAACAGGGTCAGTATGAAGTAAGTTGCATTGCTCTGTTAATTTCCTTCCATAGCATTGTATAAATAATATTTTTACATTTTGTTCAATATTTGTACATTCAAATTGCACTCTTATTGTACTACAATACAAATAAAACCTGAACTGGAGCCGTCTGTTACATTTGTGTATGCCCAAGATTCTCAGATGAACCCGGCTGTTCCCGAGGGTGGTATGGAGTAATTCCTCATCATAGCTCAATGTGGCCATGAGTTTAAAAGAGCAACTTGCCTACTGTTGTCTGCCCTCTCCCCTAAACACTTATTCCTAAGGCTAACAGGCTGCTTGCTGTCACAATCAGAACCCCATTTATGGACCTGTGTTTTGTAACTGGCAGCAGCTGAAATTGCCCATGCAGACCAGTAAAATGCAAAATTCTTCTGTTTTCTTTCCTTCTATCCTTCCACGTAGTTTATTTTCCCTCACTCTCTGTCTCTCTCGTGTGCCAGCTCTGTAGCCTACAGTGAGAACCAATGAAGAGATTTGTTTCTTAACGGAGATTACTTGAGGATGTTAGCAGCTCCCTGAATTTTTATATACACCTACTTACAAAGTACTGTGTGGTTTAAGAAAGGGATTTGAATTAATACTGTTTCCAAAATGTAGAATAAACCTCACTTAATGATACAGAGCCCAACTTTTTATTCATACAGCTACCACTTACAACAGTGAGGCCATGCATAATCCATACTTTTGTATCCCATGTGATGAGGTAGCAGGATGTAGCCACCTCTGTTACAAAAACTACACCCAACAAATTCACTCGGAAACTAAAAACACCCAGAAGAACTACTGAATCTGTTAAACAGCAGTTGGTATTGTTTTGTATATTGTGTTGGAGGTAACCCAGCTGTCACACAGGTAAAGATTGTCCCCTGATTTCCATAGGAGCCACATGAAAAATCCTAACACTTTAACAAGAGAGTCTGGCCGTTAAATGCAGCAATTTACCCTTGTGCTGCAGAGTCTCCCACTGTAATCTCTGCATTGGAGCCAGCCCTGCACAGCCAGGTTTTAACAAAAGTTCTGTGATCTTCAAAGCTGTGTGTGCGAGAGTTTTAAAGAAACATTGTGACCACAAAGTCTGCTTTGCCTACACAGACATTTTTAGAACTGGTGGGAGACTGATCTCTTTAGTAGAATGCAGTGTTTTAATAAAAAGCCATTTTAATTCCTAATTAATGCAGTGGGTCATATTTGCTGGTTGCTGCTACTGTCCATCACTAGGCGCTCGTACGAAGCCATGCGCTGTCAGGCAGTAACCCCTGGGATTTCCAGACATGCAGGAGTTAAGGAGCAAGAGCGAGTTTGGGAGAAGAGGATGCTGTGGAAGAAGAGAGGAGAGGGCCTCCGCTCTGTGTGGGCAGATAGGAGAGTCACCATGTGGAGAAGGCCAATTTGCTCTGGGGAATAAATTCAGAAAGAAAATGAGGCATTCTCTCCCTGATGCCAGAGCTGTGGTTACAAACGCACATGGCAGCATCCCAGAGAAGTCATTCTCGCTACTTGGAGAGCTCATCTCAGAATCCCTATTTAGCAAATTCAGGATTAATGTTAAAAAAAAAAAAAGAAAAGAATGTTTCATGCATGGGGAAAATAGTGAAAACTCATCCTGGAAATTATAAATCAGGCTCACATTTTAAAGCACAAAAAATATTACAGTAGCCTTTCAGTGATCATCAAATAATGAACTGATGGTAACAAGTAAATCTTTGATTTGTGCCACTTCAAAACATTAAATGTATTAGCATCTGAAGCAGCAAAGTGCTCACTTCAACTCACAAGTGTGTTTTTTAAATTCTGACAGTCAAAAGACTACCTGAATTTTTTAAATGCTCCATATGGAAAAATCATATATGACACATGCAGTAATCTAGAAAATTTTATTATCTCTAATGCCTCTAAACTGCTCTAGAATTTCCATTTAAAATAATGAAAATGTTTAGGTTTTAAATTTAAAAAAAGTAGCCAGTACAATAAAAGGGGGCATTATTAAACATAACAGAATTACAAATGTACATACACTTCCACCAGAAAGAATGGGACTGATTTATCTTCACAACAAAGAGATTTATTGTGACAAAATGTCAGATGCTCCCGGGAGGAGTGCTGTGTACACCATCAGATACTGGGATGCTCGGGTACCTCCAGCCTGCTCTTTACCTGGGTGGGGAGGGGTGCTGGGCTCCTCACCTCAAACACCAGGGACTCCAGGAAGTTGAGCGTCCTATGGATTCTCTTTGGGCGCGGGATATTGAACACATGAAATGCGGCCACCAGCGCAGCCAGGGCCATGGTGCAGTCATCGAGCTGGGCTAGCTCTTCTCTTTCCACGTACAGCGCAAATTCGCATGAATTCATGTTGAAGGGGTTTTTTACTTCCAACACTGGTGTCAGCACCTTCACCTAAATTTAAAAAAAAGGGGGAATATTTCAAATGATGTCACAGCGTCACTTTGGTGAATGGTTCAGAGAAGCAAGTGTAATAACACTGCTTTGCATTCAGCTAGTATTTCTATGAATGTCTGTCTTCTACTCAAAAGGCAGACTAACATCATCCTTTTCCAGGAACTAAGCTGAGCCACCAAAAGGCCAGGAGATGCGCCCCAGCAGCTCATAGGAGGAAGAGAGACCAAGACCGCTTTGTCTCCTACCTCCTCGTTCACTGCAGCAAACAGACTGGAATCATCTCCAAAGACATCTGGCAGGAGTAAACATGCAGCAGTCATTTTCATATCTGTCAAAGGCAAGGATTTCTACTAAATTACAAATGAAAATGTTCTGGCACTGCAGTATTGTCCTGGAAAAGCAGATTGCAGCCTATGAAACAGTTAATATCTCAGCAGTGGAACTATTGTTCAAACCATTGTGGTACCACCAGAGTGGTTTGTACCACAGTGAAGGTTCAGGTGCCTCAGGTGGCAATGGGCAGTAGGATTCAAATCACTTGTGACACTCTGCTACTCAATATTAAATATTAAATTTCTCTCACAATACGTAAGTAGGCCTTTGGGTTGCTTCTAGTGGAGTTTGCGAGCTGAATAACCCACCTGCCCCCAAACTCCTCTCTCCTCAGTAAATCAGATGTCTCTGGGGAACCCTGCTGCCAGAGGACTCCACTTTGAAGGCTGCAGTAGAGGCTGGTGCTGTGGGACCTCCTGGCATGTGGTACCCACCACCCCTCTGGTTCAGCTGTTAATGACTGTAACATCTTTTTTGCAGGTCAGGCTTCCGGTGCCATGTGTTTTACTGAAACTATCTTGTCAGGCATTTATTATCTAGACGCCAGGTCAAGTTGTTTGTAAGAAAAAACAAAAGTAAAGGCCTTGGGACTTCACTAAGGTATGAGTTAAAATCTTTGTGGGCATATTATAAAAGAAATGAGGAAGTTACTTACAACATCTATAGCTTTCTAAGGCCAAAGGTATGAGTAGAAAGTCCATTAAGGCTTTCTGGATTAGGCTGTTTGTTGTCACTTTTTAATCTATCATGAGCTCTAGCGAACTTGTGTTTTTAAGCTTACAGGAAGAAAACTCCAATATTTTAACCTACTCTGTTTTCTTCTTCAAGAAATGACCCGGTAATAAAAGGGGTGAAACTGCTATAGGAAACACACTTGTTCATACTGTGTCGCCTTTGATTTGACATCCTGGCATTATGCCTGTTTGATAGAAAACGACAGTCAGAGGAGCACTTCTTACAGAGCTAAGCTCGGGCATAGGCATCAACAGCTGCGGTTTGGGAAGAACTCTGGAAGAATTGGAAGAATTGAAAGATTATGAGTAACTCCCTCCCATGTTTTGTCCCTGCAGAACGGCGCTCCCAGACTTTTCACACCAAAAGAAGTTGAGTAGCAGCAGCTGCTTGCCCCTCCTCCCTCAGCCAGCGAGCCAAACACATCGAGGTACCCAGACCTCTGCGCCACTGTGGTACCCGCTCGCCAGAGGTACCGGTTTGGGCACTTATTCCTGCGATGTGTCTCTGCAGAGATGTACTTGAAACACAAACAGCAGTAACTAGTTCTTCCGTTATTTCACCGGGATGAAGACTTCAACCACAGAAACAGTACCTCTCTTTCTGAAGGAAATTGTCTTTTTTTATGGGACTATTTCTCTTTCTAAACCAGGAAGTTTGTTTTCTGCATGTATTTTTAGCAAATAATAAGCACTCTTTTGCATATCTTGAAATACATAATTCTGCTCATCTTATTTTAAGGCAGTTACTAACTTTATCAAACCTGCAATTTTTTATTCAATAGGAAAAAAAAAGGTTCAATACCTGACTGACTTAATTTTCCTAGTAATTTATTAGCTTTTATTCTTAATGCTTCCCCATCACTGTGCATTTTTCAAGCAACTGTGACATTTAAAAATGTTTTTGCAGTAAAATTAGAGCTAGTTTAGTTACATAAGTAAGGACAGTAAGCTACAACAAAACTCTGCTATTCAGAGCATAGATTTCTACTGACATTTCAGAATGTCTTCCTCTGTGTGCCGCTTCAGATTTTCTTGCAGCATAATGTTAATTGGATTATTCCTCACCACATACAAAGATAATATGTTTTCTGAATAAATCTCCAAGATCTCGACTGTTTTCTTATAAATGTCCGTGTGTGTGAGAAGCTGGAACTCCCTAAAAAGCTAAAAGAAAAAGAAAAAAATTCGGTATTATCGCAACCATCAAAACCAAAACTGAAAACAACACGAGGGACACACTTTGAAGACAGGATAAGACCAGCTCAGTAAAATAAGATTATAAACTGGAGGGGGTGGTTGGTTTTTTTTTTCAAAGCAGGGAAGAAATACATCAAGTAACACCAAAGTACCTCAGCAAACCCACTGGTGTTGTGAGTGGCATGTTTCAGACAGGACTGGTGAATCTTTTAAAGTGGGGTTCGCAGCAAAAGTATGAGTTAAAGTAAAGAGAACAATGTTGATGGATACTTCACCGGAAACATCCACTAAAATACATGCCTACGGCTGTATGACATCTATAACATAGGATTCAATGTCATTATTAAAAATATCTCTGTTACCTGATAAGGGCATCTTAAGAAAGGAAATAACCTAAGAATGTCTTTTAAAGGTGCCTTATCGCTGATCATCTTCCTCCGTATTTCTATTGTCACATTCATTCTGTTATCCACTTCTTTCCAGTTCCTTTGAGTTTTCATATATTCTTGCTTAAGCCACTTGATGTGTACATCCATTGCACTGCCTTCAAGATGAACAGGTTCTTCCTACCACGAAATGAAGGACAGAATTGTAACAAATCAGCTATCCCTTTTATCTGATGTGGTTTGTGTGACTTGAGTGTAGTCAAAGTATAGTCAAGCTCAGCAGAAAGTACCCGTAGGGTGGTTTCAGTATCAGTTCTGGGAACCCACCCTCATATTCTAATAGTTATATTAAGATCTGTTTTCATATAATACTATAGCCATCACCCAAGTCTCCCAAACTCAAATTACATATTTGAGGTTACTCATGAAATTCCTGTCTGTGTCTGGTTTGCCGAATTGTGGTTCATTGGAAATTAGTAGGCAGTTCTAATGGTGACTAAGTGTTTAGCAATATTAGCTCTGTATTACCAAGAGAAATAGTATCTGCTTCTTACTGATACATGTCCTTAAAGCAGGACAACTAACTTTTCACATTTACGCAACTGCAGTATTTACCCCCAAGGAGACCAGCTGAATTAAGAAAACTCTTGATGTTTTCTTGATTCAGCTGGTGAGCAGTCTGACTACCAGTGTTTTCAAAAAGTTATGTTATACTTGAAGACAGTTAGCAGTCTTCCCCAAAATTATTGTCCCTGCTGTAATTCCAAAGCCAGTAATTACTAAGAGGAGTGGCTATCCAAAGCAGTACATCAGTGGCAATAGCCTGGGGCTGTTTTGTTTCTATCAGAGGACGAAGTGAATTTGTTCATTTTAACAAGCTGAGACGACTACAGATGCACTGTTAGTACAATTACCACTCTCGGGCTGCGTTTACACTGGCTTTTCCCATACGAATTGTCACTGATGCAGCTGCTGTCTGTGTCAGTGGTGGCCTATGGGTCAACACCAGAGTGAGCTGAGACACTTCATCCTGTTCCCCGGAACGTTTAAGGCATGGAGCTGCAAAACATACAACATCCAAAACCTCTTCACAGTGCTCTGTATGTGCAATTAAACTTTCCAGTTTAATTAACATCCTTTTTTAAATTGTGCATGTGGTATTCCAAGAATGGCTGCATGAGGTACACAATTAAAAACCTGTCTCCCTCCTACTATTATATCCATGGATTTCAATAGCCATTGGTGTGACAGAAGAAAATGAGCCCTGCGTGCAGGACAGTTACCTACTGTGACCCCCACAGGTACTCCCCTGGCCCGTGCTCAGATGCTGCATTAGCGCAGTCTGCACTCTTTCTAATAGAGGATTTTAGTCTTAATTGTATTACAGCAGTAATTTTTGTTTGTGACCAGCTTGAATAGGGATTTTCACCCTCTTCCTCACTGCACAGGAGCAGAGGTGGTGGGGTCAGATGACTTAGTCCCACACCATCCTCTAGCTGGCTGAGAAGGGTGCTGGGAAAAAACATAAAGAGGAGTGTGTAGTGGTACTTCCTCTGAGTTCTGTCAAGACTCCACTGAACTGAGGTTTGTGGAATCCCAAGGGTTATGTCTTTCTATTTAATTAGCCTTCAGTAGATTTTTTTCCTTCCATTATTTCTCCAGTCGCTTTTCCAACTCTCATGAAATCATAACTTCCACAACATCCTGCGTTAAGTTCAGCAGTTTAACTATGCCCTGTCAGAAGAAATGCATTCTTTTGTTTGTTTTCTCCTGCTGCTTCTACCTTCTAATTATCCTACTGGATTCAAAACCTACTCACCCTCTCCTTCCCACTGTAGTTTTATCAATATGTCACATTCTGTCCTCAGCTACCTTTTTTCCAGCCAAGACTGTCCTAAGCTATTTTATCATTCCACATATAAAAGCTGGACCATACTTCCAATTATCCTTGTTATTGTCTTTGCATATTTTCTAATTTCACTACAGCCTTTAAGAAATGGGCACCATAAAACTTCGAATACTAGTTGAGATGCTGGGACACCACAGTGGAATAATGAGCTCTCTTTTGTTTCTTTCTTAAATAGTTCTGAGCATTCGATATACTTTCTTGAACTGCTGCTTAGCGTTGTGCCAAATTTTCTTTTGGCATGATAGAGAAATACCCTTTGTGTAAACATTTACCATCACTGTAAATGTTGTTAGGACTGGGTTTTCTCCTTCTGCATTATTTTACATCTATCACTATTGAATTTTATCGACTGTTTTTTTGCCCCGTCACTCAGTAGCATGGGCTCCTTCTGCAATTCTTCAGTCAGTCTTTGGCTTTAGTACCCTTAGTAGCATCACCAAATGTGGTCGGTCCTTTTTCCACATCATTTAGACATATATTGTATCGCATAAACTAAGCATCAGTAATCTCTTCCGCTGTAGTTCTGCCTAGTCTTCTTTGTTATATCTTTTAACTGTTTATCCATGCAAGGACCTTCCTGCTTATCCCCTCAGATTATATCCTGCAAAGGCCTTTGAAAGGCATGTGGTGAAATCCCTTCTGAAGTTAAAGAAAACTATATCAGCTGGATTTCCCATGTCCTCGGGGCTGTTGAATACTTCAAAGAACTAATGAATTTATGAAGAATTACTTCTGCTTACAGAAACTTTGTTGATTCATTCCCAATGTGTTCATCTCTTGGGTCTGCATTACAGTTCTTGCCAATTTGGCCAGTAAAGACAGCAGGTTTCTTGGTCCATATGTTCCCTAGTTCTCTCCTGAAACTCTAGAAACTGGCATCAAATTAGCTACCTCCAAATTTCTAGTGTCATGCTTCATGAGAGAAATTGTACATCACAATTAGAAAAATGTATTTTATCTCTAAAAATTCCATATAATTTATATATTTGTATAAATCATATATATCAGCACAGAAGGCCAACCGCATCCTCGGCTGCATCAAAAGTGTGGCCAGCAGGTCAAAGAAGGTGATTCTGCCCCTCTACTCCACTCTCGTGAGACCCCACCTGGAGTACTGCATCCAGCTCTGGACTCCTCAACGTAAGAAGGACATGGACCTGCTGGAGTGTGTCCAGAGGAGATCCACGAGGATGATCTGAGGGCTGGAGCACTTCTCCTATGAGGAGGGGCTGAGAGAGTTGGGGCTGTTCAGCCTGGAGAAGAGAAGGCCCCGGGGAGATCTTCTTGTGGCCTTCCAGTACCTAAAGGGGGCCTACAGGAGAGCTGGGGAAGGACTTTTTACTAGGGCATGTAGTGATAGGACAAGGGGGAATGGCTGTAAACTGGAAGAGGGCAGGTTTAGATTAAACATTAGAAAGAAATTTTTCACTTCGAGGGTTGCAAGGCACTGGAACAGGTTGCCCAGAGAGGTTGTGGAGGCCCCATCCCTGGAGGTGTTCAAGGCCAGGCTGGACGTGGCCTTGGGCAACCTGGTCTAGTGGGAGGTGTCCCTGCCCATGGCAGGGGGGTGGGACTCGATTATCTTCAAGGTCCTTTCCAACCTAAACCATTCTATGATTCTATGATAAAAAAATTATGTTCATCTACCAAAAAAATTATCTATTAAAAAACTATTTTATTCTTGGACACATCTGAAAATTTTGCACAAATATCATCTGGTGCTGGGAATGTGTTACAACTCACTTTAGTGTATTATTCTGTAGTCTCTTCCCTGACACACTGATCTGAGACAGATGTCCTGACATTGCCTATGAAGAATGGTCCCAGTAACGTGATTGCCTGAACTCATCTTCTGAGAATTCTTGCAACGTCAGTCTGTTTTTTCTGGTGTGGCTTTATATTCTGCGAGCCCTCCTCCACCTCGAGAGTGCATCCTGAGCACTCCTGTCCCTTAGCAGCGTCAGGCTGACTGCTTCTCATCTGGTTGAAAAAGCCTTCATAACCAGTGCAGAAAAGACAGAAAACCACAAAAAACACTTTTGTGTAAATCTCCAGTGGATCGCTCACAGTCATCAGAGTTCCGTTTTGCTGCTAACATGCAAGCTCCCTGCATCACTGCTTGGTATTTTCTTGTATCTAATTTGCATTGGTTTCAGACTGTGAGTACCATTCAAGCATTCACACATCCCGACGTGAGCTGGTCAGCTGTTGCTTAGCCTGCCTAACTTGCACTAAGTTGGGATGGACTGTCTCGTGCTTCAGCGTGACCACTGCACAAAAACAAGGGCTGGTCCACTCTTGTCAGTCTCAAGATGCTCGTGCTTTCTCACACATGCACACACACAGACAGTTGCTTGGGGTTTTTTAATTACAGTTATATTTTTTACTCTGGGCAAGAGCTAGTTTGAAGTCTCTGACTCCAGACAGCTCTGTTACTACTGTCTTCTCGCCTGGATCTGCTTCCAAGCCTCCTGCCCGTAGAGCAGGAGCTTCTTCAGCCACCTGATGGGGACCACAGCTGCTCATTTCCAGAGGGGCTGTCACCTTCAGTGCCTTGCTTGCAGAAGCAGGAAAGCAAAGCAAACTCAACCTGGTGTGCTGTAAGCACAGACAAACTGACTGGGTTGCTTAGAAACAAACACCGAGGAGAACAAGTTGTGACCTTTACTCCAGCTTATCTCCATCCCCCTTGTCAAGGCAAACACTGCTCGAGTTGATGGACTTTCCATGTAGTCAGGTCTGTCCTCGAGAGCTAGTTTAGCTAATGACATTATTTATTAGCTAGATGAGAGCATCTGACATTTTGGTAAGCATCAATGGCAAGCTATCAATAGAAATACGGCAGTAGTATAAGGAAGAATTGCTGTCATACTTACCTATTAGGAAAAAAAACTGTGATGGAAGGCCAAACTTCATTGTGTAAATCATCCATTACATATGAAGAACACAAGCAAAAGTCAGTGTCAGAATTGGTTTTCTTGCAGTGTTCAGACTGCTTAGAGCACTCACTATTTGTAAGCTTTTCACCTTTTTAAGCTGCACTTCTAGGCTGAAGAAAGGTATTGGCAGTTCTGAACTTTAAGCTCTTTAACACAGCTTGTTTATACTAGCAGTCTATGTAACGGACATACATACCCAGCCATAAAACACATCTTAAAACTTCAGTCAAATAATAGAGCTCCAGAAATGTACCAAGTCTGTGGTAGCACCATTCAGATACCAAGTAATGACAGTTTTCTACCGGTCTTAGTAGCCATTGCTGTTTCAGAGA